TGATGCAAATATGATGTAAGTGTCCAAAATTCTCTAAATTTGATGTAAATGATTTCCATTAAATTTACAGAATTTTGGACACTTGCATCATATTTACATCAAATTTACAACCTTTGAAGCGCGCGATTTTTTTCCAGTGTCAAAGCGTAATTCTTAGAGTTTTGGCTCATTCTTTGTCTCATCTAGGACTTTGGCATCGTTAATGTGATCCAGAATAAATGAACGAGGCAAACATCTATTCACAACAGAACAGGATTGATCTGAATCCACTTTAAAGGCATCTCTTAAGCCCTTCCGAAAAGCCTCCAAAAAAGAGAAATATACAAAAGGATTTAAAGCAGAATTGAAGCAAATCAATATGAAATAAATATCGTCGAAGTATTCCTCAATTTGCATCAATGTCAAGATCTCGTAGAACTGGACGTGTATTGCGTATAGAATGTGGGGAAGACCACAGCAAATGTAAAATGTCAATGTAACCGCAATGATTATCTTTATTACTTTTCTGCGTGCCCTGTCTCTTGCTCTTCGCGCCTCGACCTGAGCTGCAAGTTCACCTTCTTGTCTTCTTAAAGTTCTGATAACTTTCAAATACAAAATGAACATTATGATTGAAGGAATGATGTAATGAATTATTGTGTACACGAATTCGTAGACACCATAACTGTACCAAGAAAGTTGATTGTCATCGCAAATGTTTTCTTGAACATAATACTTGATGATGCACATGTCAAAGGTGGCATGTGCAATTCCCCAAGCCCATGATAGAGACAAATCCATTTGAGGCGAGATCTGGTGACCTCGTTGTTCAACCTTGAAAGTGGATGCACAATAGCTTTGTAGCGTTCGTAAGCCATTGCTGTCAGCAGTAAAGGTGATATGGATGTTCCAAGATATGTCAAGGTTTCAATCTTGCAGAGTACTTCAGCAAAAGGAGCACTTTGATTATATGCTTGTTTTAGCAATGATGGACCCAATACTTCATTATAATCATTGGTAAGCTGGTAATAGATGGTAAAAACTCCTGTTAAGGCGTCTAATATAGCAAGATTTAGTATGATATAATTCATAGGAGTCTTCATACTTTGTGCTCTTCGAATAATGTACACAACCAAGCCATTCCCCAGAATTGCAATAGAGGAAATTAAAAATCCCGCGACTTTGAGCGAGACAAGTGCCTTTTTGTTCATTGTGAAACGTAAACCACAAGTGCCCGTTTTCACATAGCAAAGTCTGTGTTACTGAAGGCTTAAATTTTTCGATCTCCTGTATTTTTAATTGGTAAGCACCTAAAAAAATGGTCATCCAATTTGACATAGTGATATGTTCTACTGAAAGTAACACTGGCTTCGCGTGTGGACTTTTCCGTGAAACTGTCAATCAAATGTCAAAAATATATATCGTCAAATTATTTCACACGGCGCATCGATTGGATATTAGAAGCTAGTACATCAATGTTATTTTATTTTCGTGCGTGCAAATAACATTTAGATGTACGATAAAATCAATAGAACATGCCTGCAGCAGCCTTCATTATTTCCTTTTTGTCTTCGAAGTCTTTAATGATAATTTGATCTATCACAGGCACCTGCTTTTCAAAATAAACAAAGCAAATACTTTTCGATTCATTTGATGAATGCAATTAAGTAAAGTTTCTTTCCATGTAAATTGAATTCCTATCAAAGCAGAGGCTCGCGTGGGAAATAATTTAGCAGAAAAAAGACTCGAAATAACATTTCCGTCAATCTGTCCGCGATGTTTGTTTTTATCGGCGCCAATTTCTTTTCGGTCATTTTTTTGGGCGTTTGATACGTTCAAAACAGCAGGCAAGAACCGATAACCTATGATTTTTTAGATTCACGTGACTAGCCTCAACCAGGGTGTCGCTCGAAGCGTCCGCCATTTTGTAAATAGCGAAAAGCGGGGCCCTGGGAACGAGGAAGAGTTCTTCTTAGAACTATCTTCTGAAGGAGAGAAAAATGCTTCTCGTTTTGTAACCACGGCTAAATGAATTAATCTGTTAACAATATCATCAGTGCAATTGCTGTTTTCTAACCATTCTAATGAGATTCAAACAACAAAAGAACGTCGGCCTTGTTGCGGGTATGAACAATAGATATTACTGAGAAATCCCTTGTTGTTCCTCAAACATAGCCACTGTGACGTCACAAAATAAAATCGCTTAGCTGAATTCTAAAACTAGCACTGAAAAAAAGGCGTGCATAAAGGTTGTAAATTTGATGGAAATATGTTGTAAGTGTCCAAAATGATGTAAATTTGATGGAAATCAAATTTACATCATTTTGGACACTTACATCATATATACATCACATTTGAAACCTTTAAAGAGCGCGATTTTTCCAGTGTAAAATCCAAACTGTTTGAACTGAGCATTGCCATTGAATCCAAAATTGGTAAAAATAACGATGCTGAGAAGCACAAGAAGCAGAGTTTGACCAAGACTAGACAACCAACACCTTTTGGATGAGTTCTGTTCAGATAGACTAGCAAATACCTCTGTGTATTTGGTGTGTGATCTCCATTCATTTTCACTAGAGTCAATCGGCTTCTTTTTTTATATTTTTGAGTATCCTTGTTATTGTAAACTATGATTCCCAAGTGAGTCATATAAAATGTTAAAGAAAAAATGTAATTCCGTTCGATTCCACTGGACAAACTTGGGTGTGGCTGTTCTTTTTACGTGGACGATCTCATTGTATGAGAGTTTCATAGCCATAGACCTATTGCTTCCGAAGATATAGAGGCGGGGCCGAATAACCCTCCCTTCCCCCCTCCACTCCCCCTTCTCCCCTTCCGCAGTCTAAATAAGGTTAAACTGACACGAAATAAAAATTGTTTTCAAAACAGACTATTCCCCAAAGCGCGCACCTCCAAAAGTTGTGGTTCAGTCCTAGTCGTATGATTGCTTTTTCCAGCGTCAATTTGGTCCAAACTAATGGAATGGAGAGAATAATTGTTCACAGCAATAGTGGTCTGTGTTGTCCTGCGATTACTAGTTTTAAAAACATCTTTTAGTCCTTTTCGAAATTGCTTCAAAAAAATAAAATATACAAAGGGGTTAAAAGCAGAGTTAAAACAAAGCAATATGAAATACACGTCGTCAAAATATGGCTCAATTTGCATCAATGTCAAGATCTCGTAGAACTGGACGTGTATTGCGTGTAGAATGTTGGGAAGACCGCAGCAAATGTAAAATGTCAATGTAACCGCAATGATAATCCTTATTACTTTTCTGCGTGCTTTAGCTCTAACCTGTTGCGCATTAGCCTGAGTTGCAAGTGCTCCATCTTGCCTTCGCAACGCTAAAATAACCTTCAGGTATAAAATAAACATTGTTATTGAAGTGATGATGAATTGAATGCTTGTGTACACAAGTTCGTAGACCCCATAGCTGTACCATGGACCAAGTTCTTTGTAATCACACCAGTTTTTCTCGGCATAATATTGAAAAATGCACATGTCAAAGATGGCATATGCAATTCCCCAAGCCCATGATAGAGAGAGAATCCACTTGAGGCGAGATCTGGTGACCTTGTTGTTCAACCTTGAAAGTGGATGCACAATAGCTTTGTAGCGTTCGTAAGCCATTGCTGTCAGCAGTAAAGGTGATATGGCAGTTCCAAGATATGTCAAGGTTTCAATCTTACAGAGTACTTCAACAAAATCAGCACTTTGATTATACGCTTGTTTTAGCACCGATGGACCCAATACTTCATTAAAATCATTAGTAAGCTGTATATATATGGTAAAAAGTCCTGTTAAGGCGTCTAATATAGCAAGATGTAGTATGATATAATTCATAGGAGTCTTCATACTTTGTGCTCTTCTGATGATGTACGCAACCAATCCATTCCCCAGAATTGCAATAGAGGAAATTACAACACAAGTTACTTTGAGAGAGACAAGTGCCTTTTTGTTCATTGTGAAACGTAAATCACAAGTGCCCGTTTTTTAAAACCTAGCAAAGGTTGTTGCTGAAGGCTTGAATTGTTCGATCTCCCGTATTTTTAATTAGTAAGCACCTGCAAGAATGGTCATTTAAGTTGCCATAGTGATATGTGTAGACTTTTTCGTCGATCAAATGTCAAATATATTGTCTAAATATTTTACATAGCACATTGATTGCATATTAGAACAGGGTCTGCATGTGGTCAACTGACTAGCGACAAATGTTTAAAAGAACAACTGACTAGCGACAAATTTGAACAAAAATTACTGACCAGCGACAAGAACATATTAACTGACTGGTGACATTTTCCTAAAAAATAATTACTTTAGGTCATATTAACACTTTAAGGTAGTACCGGATCGCGCGATTCTGAAAGTCAGGCTTCTTGAAATTTTAACCATGAAAAGCTAAATGATAGAGCGTTTATATGACGTGAAAAAAATATTATGTCCTCGGGTTAGTTACGGAACTACAATACGAGAAAAATGAGCGATTTTTCGCGCTTTTACGCTCGCTTTTTGCGAAAGTACGCTATGCTGAATACATTTTCATAGCTCTGGTAATTTTAATCTACGACAGGTGAAACTTCACAAAACAATGCCCATTGAGGTAACGGACCTTACAAGAGTGAAAATTTCATCCATTCCTTTAAAATAGTCTCAAAAAAGTTCATCCACGATGAGAAGTTCCTTTCAATTTGACCGCAGAACACTCGTGGCTACTTGTACAAATGGTGAAAAATTTCCCCAAAATTTAGAAGTAAACTCCTTTTTTTTATTGACTTATTTTCAAAATTATTATATTTCGTTTCGAACGAAGAAAATGGGTGTTACCGGCATAGTTTCAAAGCTACAGGGTCGCAAACCCAGAGTTTGACTTATTGTGAAGCGATTGTTCGATTATTATGCGCGAGAGAGACTGGCACTTGCAAAATAGAAGGGACAAATATGCTAGCATGGGTTTCCTGTGGTATAGTATCATTGATATTCAAATCCTATTAAATGTACATGTCTTTGATTTTACCAGACTAAGGGTCAGTGATTTTGAGGTAAGTTATCGCTTTGCTAAAATTCATTTAGATCTATGAACATCTAGAGAACAGTGGCAGAATGTTTTAATTCTATCATTAAAGAAATGCCTGTTACTTAAATTACACTAGTTAGCTTATAGTGGGTCAGTTATAGCTACAACATGAAACTGGTGCATCACTTTACGAAATGAATGTTGTGAGTTTTGCATTCAAAATGCTACAGTTTCAGTGTTTTGCTACAGATCTAATTTGCATAGCCTTGACCCCAAAATCTTGCATTACATTATCACATCAAAACCAATTTGTAATCCAAATGCTGTGTGCAATAAGAAAGAATACATCATGATAACGAAGCAAATTAGGCTGAGAATGAGACCTCCATTCATTTTGACAAGAGTCAAACGGCTCCTTTTTTATTTTTGAAAATCCTTTTCATTGTAAACTATGATTCCCAATTGAGTCCTATAATATTTTAAGTAATTCCGTTCGATTTGAGCATGGAAAAGACGTATTTGATATGCATCAATTATCAATTCAGGTTTGGCGAGCAGACTGTTTCAAAAGAAATGACATATTTTTGCATCGCATCATACAGTATTTGATTTTCAAGGACTATGAAGTGCGAATACGTGACCATTGCAAGCTTCTATAATTTTGATTGACCTCGAGTGTCACGTTATGTAAAGGTGTTTATGTCTTTAGTATATAGAAGATTTTTGAAGATTTTGTTGTAGAGTCATACGTTCTGTGATTATATTTTGTTTCATTTTTTTTTTTTTTTTTGCAAAACGGTGCTCGCTGCAATTACAATACAATAGCATGAAAGTTTATTGTGAAGTGTGTTTTAGCGTGTACATCGTGTGGATAATTACGAATGATTATCTTTCTTTTCTTGCTTAAGCAGATTGCAAGTCATTCGAAAACTTTGGAATTATGTCTATTGAATGCGATTCAAGCATAATGTGATATTTTATCATAGATTAAGATAATCAATATCAACTACACTATAGATATTGATATATTTATATAAGTTAGCGGCAAGAATTCCTTCAATTGACGATACAGCTGTTTGCAATAATTCTGACCCCCTCTTCCATATTTCATATATATCAAACTGACCTTAAATATTATGGGATATCATGACTGATATATTTTTTGAGTTGCCCAGAATGAGTACTTTCTCAAAAAAATATCAGCATTGGTATCCCATAATTTCTAAGGCTACTTTGATATATATGAATATTAGTGTAGGGGGGTCAGAGTTATTGCAAATAGCTGTATATCCAAAATAAATAAATATATTAAAATATAATCTAATAAAATAAAAATCTCATGAATGCAACACTACATTAATGCACTAGTCTTCAATGTTTATTCTCCTAAAATAGTTTTCACTAATTCAAGGGTCAATTGAAACCCCGACCCCCGGGGCTAGCGGGGCACTGAACGGGAACGTGAAGCGTTTTTAACGTGCTTTTAACAGCAACATTGCCCCGGTGGGTCGGACTTTTGATGAATTGTTTTCGAAGCGGGGATTTTAACGCTCTTTTATACATGTATGAGTATGGAAACTAGACGTCGGCCATATTGAAAAATACCCTAAAGGCATTGGTATTCATCCCCGCTTTATTATTTTTATTTTATTTGTTTATTTTTTGTTTGCTTTTCGTTTGTCTATTTTTTCTATTTGTTTGTATTTTTCCTTGCATATTTGTTTTTACTAAGAAACTTATTACACATGTTTTTCTCTGTCCAGTAAACCTCGTGTATACACAGGATTATACAAAAGTTAACCCTGTGTATCACAGAAAATTATTTACTAGTAGACCAAAATAGCGGGGCAACGTAACAATAGCCAAGCGGCCGGGGGATTTTAACAACGAATGTGTCCCGACTATCGTGGGAAATGTCTTATATCAACACCACTCAAACGATAAATTCCCTGGGGGTCGGGGGTCGGGGTTTTAAATTGACTAGTGCATAAATAGCTTTCCATAAAACAATAAAAATATCTCTACTGACTGATATGAAAATGAACTTTCATCGGCTCTGATCAAGGTGTCGTTTCCTAATTGGTCTATAGCAAATGAACTCGTGCCAGGGGCAGAGTGTGAGAATTTTTTTTTAAGTAAAGAACACTTATATCATGTTTAATTTTCTCAAAAGTGCACCTTTCTAACATTAAATGAATTTTGATCATTTGCTTTTTTAATTGAGAAATATTTACCGTTTGTACTGCGTGTTTTTTTCAGGTAAATTACAAGCCAGAATGTTTCAAGAAATCTCGTTTGTGGTGGCAGCCGTGCTTATTACTTACCTCCTTTGGTCGTTTATTAATAAAGCAAAGGCTAAGCCTCAGATGCCTCCCTGTCCAAATCCGATTCCCATTTTTGGAAACATGTTTACAATGTTAAAATGGATCAGCGAAAAAAAACTGCACATTGAGTTAATAAGGCTTGCTAAGATGTATGGCGGTAAACTCTTCACCCTAAAGATTCCAGGACAAGATATTCTTGTTGTCAATTCTGCTTCAACTGCACGGGAAGCAATGCTAAAGAAGCGAGATGTTTTTGCTGGAAGGCCTTTTGGTTTCACATTTGATTTCTTGTCCCGCAATTCCAAAAGCGTCGCTGCTCAAGATTTTAACCCTACTTTGCTGCTTCAGAGAAAGATTGTTCTTTCAGCTATTCGCTCATATCAGCCCAAGTTAGAAGAAAAAGTGATAAAGGAAGTAAACGAGTTAGTTAAGAGACTGACTGCTTATCAAGAGAAACCCATCGATCCAACCCACGAAATTGCCTTGACGGTGATGAATGTGATTTGCGCTATGGTCTTTGGAGATCGGTACGAGCTCGCCGATCCCGAATTTTCTAAGATATTTGATAGCTACAAGATTTTGTTCGCAAATATTGGATTACTAAACAGTTTGAACGTATTTCCTTTTTTGATCCATTTCCCGATAAAAGATTCGATAAATTTGAAATCTGCTGTGAAACACCGAGACGAATACTTGAATAGAAAGTACTATGAACACCAGAGGTCCTACAAAGAAGGTACCATCCGTGACATGACAGACGCCCTGATCAAAGCTTTAAAAGAAGCTGAACAAGAAGATATTAAAGTCAGAACCCAAATCACAGAAGACCATGTTGTAATGACGATGAATGACACCTTCGCGGCTGGTATGGAAACAACATCAGTTCAGATTCTCTGGTTTCTATATTTCATGATTCGTCACCCAGATATTCAAGAGAAAGTGCAGGAAGAGCTCGACACCGTTCTTGGGAAGGACAGTTACGCCGGATGGGAAGATAGAACCAGGCTGAACTACACATTTGCTACCATTCAAGAAGTCGCTCGTTTAGCAACTCTTGCTCCAATAGCACTTCCTCGCAAAACTACGAAGGATTGCACTTTAGAAGGCTATCACATCCCCAAGGATACGTCCGTCTTTTTTAACATCATGGCTCTGCATCTTGATGAGAACGAGTGGAAAGATCCTTTGGTTCTCAATCCTGAACGATTTTTAGATGATGAAGGCAAGCTGATCCCAGTCGCTAACCTGAAGAGCTTCTATCCATTTGGTGGTGGTCGTCGTATTTGTCCCGGAGAGAATCTTGCAAATCAAGAGGTATTTATGATATCCTCACGTTTGCTCCAGAAATTCACTTTGGAAGCAGTTGTTCAGAGTTCTGACCTCCCACTTCATGGCGAGATGATCGCCATTAATCACCAACCCGTACCGTTTAAAGTACGCTTCAAAGAAAGAGCCTAATTTAAAATGTCAAAACGGATGACAATCCTAGATATTTGTATTAATCAAGACCGTTTTATGCAGGTCATACCTACATTTTCTTAAATTGTGTAAATTAGATTATACTGTAGGCCTAAATTTTTTTAAACAAATAGTCGTTATATTGTGTCACATTTTCATGTGACGTTTTAAAAATGTAGGTAAAAATCAGGTTGTTTTTTTTTATGCTTTATAATCGCATGTTAATCAAACAATTAAACAATATCAGGGACCTGTTGTTCCAAGCTGCATCATTCCCCTAGCATCGACATTACTGATCCGTGCACACAGCATGCATCAGTGGGAGTTTCGGAAAACAATGCGTGCGCCATCTTGAAAAGTGAGACCAAAATCACTATGTTGTGCCTTAAAACACGTTTTGTAGCTGCTAAGTCAACTAATCTATCATCATATCTTGACATTGGCTTAGAACCTTTTAATTTATTAAGGGTCCTTTAGAAGTTATAATTTAGTGATTCAAGTCCCACTCTTTAGGAGTCGACGGGCTTCTGGGAGAAATATACCTGTTCTTATGTCCCAGCCAGCTGTAAGTCACAACTGGTTGCATTGCCAGCGGAAATCTCAGGGAAAAAGAACTCTCCAGGCAAGGGATACTTTCTAAGAATTTTTGCCATGAAAAGAAAAAATTCCTAACTAAAATAACATAAGCCGTTTTTGACCTTAAAAAAGTTTGCCACGAGCAATTTTTTTTTAATTATGAAAGGCACCACGAGATTGTCCACAATAATGTCAACAATAATGTCTTGTACATCGTCCAAGTAGAAGATTATTTTGTCTTCTCCAAACGAAAGTTACTCCTCTCTTCTTTTGATTCTCTGTTTTTGGCTATTCTTTTTTCGATCTCGTAGATAGTGTTGCTGTGTTGTTTTTGTAGATCTCTCATCCACGAGATTTCAATCGATACTTCGACTTGTTCTTGTGATAGGACTTCGATGTATTTGTCGTTTATTTCTCTGCATTCTTTGAAGATTGAATCTAATTCTCAATCAATTTTCTTGTGTCAACTATTCTTTTGTCGGACATTTCTCGCTGTTGTCCTTTGCGTTTAAGGTCCTTTTCTTGTTCTTTGAGATTTCTTTCGTATTCGGTGTTCTTTAGTCATTGCGTCTACGAAGCGCTCATAGCTATCTGAGATCCAATGTTCTTCGTCTTCACATTCGTAGTCATCGAGGTACGTACAGTAATCTCTATTTCGATTCTACGTTGCTCCTGTAACGTAGCGTACAGAACTTTGAATGAATATACTTATTGTTCTGCGCCTTATAAATGTAGCTATTTGCATAATTGGCGGTAAAACGAAATTATCATTTTTAGCACGAAACAAATGTGGTTCAAAAATCGTACAAGAACAGTTATTTAGAAGAACAGACCCCGTCGGCTCCTCCTGACTCTTCAAGAAAAAAAAAAAAAAAAAGAGATGGCGGACACAATGTTCTCCGAAACTCCTGATGCATGTTCAACTTGAATGATTTTATTAACGTAACTTGTTGTAAAGCTGAAATCTATTTTTATGTTATCCATCATCGAAAGATGTGAGAATTATATACAATAAGTCCGGGGTATTGTGCTCTGCGCACTTGATGTCAAATTTATTCTTTTGAATTCATTTTATATTGAAAAAATATCAAAAATTTCATATCTGTTTTTCAGTAGTCAGTTATGTAATAAATAGCCCCACACTGTTCTTTACAATTAACAATGCATAAACTTCATTTGTGAAATTATTCAGATGGGTTTGCAAATCGTGTTTAAACTGCTCTATTGAGTCTAACATCAACAAGCTCAGATGGCAGAGAATTCCAATGTCTTATAGCTCTGTCTTATCCTGGAAATGTTTAAAATTGTGACTGCTACTATTCCTAAAATCGGATATACGAAAATGGCCTTTTAACGGATGTCACATGCAACTTAAGAATTACCGTCTTTATATGTGACAAGTCGACCTTTGTCCTTTAATAGAACTTTCGTATAAATTATCAATGAAAATTAAAGAAAACTACAAAAAAATTAATAAAATAAAATACAAAATAAAAATTAATAAAAAAGTTTTAAAATATGCAATGACTGTTTTATAAATGGAAAGGTCATTGGTCAAGTGTTTCTAAACTTTTGTTCTATAATCTTTCCTATTTTTGATGTTATTTTGGACAGGCTTCAATTGAGTAAACAGAAGAAAAACCTTAGTATACTTTGCATGACAACATTTAAGTCATTTTATTTAATCTTACATACATGACTAATAACACATTAATAAACCATTATTAAATATATATTATATATATATATAAATTGAATAAATTGAAGAAAAAGGCACGCAACTTGCAACTATTATTCCTACTCTTTATTTGAACGTTTCGGCACTTCGGCCTTCTTCAGCATATATAAATTGCACGAAACTCGGAGTTACAGCAAAATCTTGCCTCTTTGATATCATATATATAAATAAATGCAAAACATAAAATATTATAAAGCAGACACTGAAACTGATTCACTCTTTACAGAAGGATATCTTTTTTACGCTAAATATGTACATTACCTTTAACATTGGCAGAAGCAGCGACAGAAGGAATTGAAAGATATTTCATTACACTTATAGAACCGACCCTAATGGATACAATGTCATCTAGCTTATATTTCAAACATAGAGTTCAACCATCTTGACGAAACAATTTCTTGAAAACACCTTTACGGATATATGAAAGCCGTAGTGAGATGATGAGAGGATTGGCCAATGACTGGAGATAGACACATGTAACCCAGATAAATTGACCAATGTACTTAAACTCAGGGGTGAACTCCTGTCCCATAGAAACACCGATGATTTTGGTGACCAAACTTGGTAGGTATAGAATGACGGTTGAGATAATGACCAAACCAAATACAAAATAACACTTCAATTCCTTTAACATCTTTTTGGTTTTGTCAATGTCTTGTTGCGTCGAAACTGCAGTAATATCTGCAATGATGGCTCTTTGTCGTCTTGACGTATGATAGACTTTTCCAACACAGTTGAGAATGATCAAACAGCAAATGGAAATGTTCACTGCTACGGGAAGCTGCCTGATCTCGAAAGAGCTATCGGACATCAGTCGGAAGCCTACCAGTGTAAGTGTCATGATACCCCAAGTTATCGCTGTCGCCCCTAGAACCTTTGGCACAGTCACCTTTGAAGAGTAGAAAAATTGATGTTCAATGGCCAGGTAGCGTTCAACGGAAAGTACCGTCAAAGTAGCAAGCGACCAACCACAGCAAACCAGTGACGAAAACATGTAAGCAATAGTCAGTGGGCAAGACGATGAACATTCCAATAAAAGACAAATGTTTAGAGCTACTGAGGTTGGTTGGACGATGAGCCCCATCAAAAGATCAGTGAAGGCCAAAGTGGCCAGCAAGATATTGTAGGTTGTATTACGAAGACGCTCATCTTCTAATACTGTCCAAATTACTAACAGATTGATACCTAGTATCAATGGGGCTGTAAGGCCGTTGATCGAGCTGACTGCTATCCATATTGCAGGGATAGTTTGTGGTAGGCTGGACACAGGTTGAGGTTCGAAATCTAGAGATATAAAGCACTTGATGGTCTTGTTAAAGGAGGTTTGGTTAGACATTGCAGGGTGACGATCGAACTAAATGGTTTGGTATTTGACTACCTTTTTATAAAAATATGAAAGGTGCTTCGTTCGTTTCGCCAGGTGCCTTGTTCTGTTGTATGCTGAATGCAATTATCAATTTTAAATCAAGAGGACTCCCTAATTGCTTTTACCAAAAATATTTCTATTTATCACGGAAATTTTAAATTTAAGTTTTACAAGCCCTCAAAAGGAAATCTATAATGCATTATTATATACGATTAAATACAACTAACTAACCAGACAACTAAGATAGTTGCCAATAAAAAATCTGATAAGACGTTATAATGAATTCACTAGAGGACTTGCAATATTTCTCTTCCTTTTTAATAGTTGTTTCCCACGCCACCAATGCAACTTAATGTAGCTGATTCTTATTTCAGATGGGCTTGGTTTATGGTAACATATTCACGAAAGTTGGGGAATGATGATATAATTCTAAGGCCAAACATTTGAATATATGATATATAAATTCAATTGCAAAAATTATGACTGCTAGCATTTATCATGGGCATTATAAAGGGCCGATTATGCAGGGTAATTGTACTTGATTTAACTCGCTCTATTCTTTTTGAAACAGAACGCAAATTATTCGAATACAACAACAATTAAATCGATATAGAAATCAACAGCATGACCTCGTTCTTCGTCTTCGTTTTCTTTTCCTCTCCGTTATTTTTGTAATCAAAGCATCACAAAGGAAAAAATATATTTTTTACTAAAATTTTAAATCAATATTGTTATGGGACATTTGATAGTTTTATTTAACATTTTCTACTAAATCATTTCTTAAAAACAATGGGCGAAAATGTGGACGTGCAAATATTTCTATTTGGCGTTCAGAGTTATGAGGTGAGGTGCTAAGCAAGGAGCGTTTTAAGTCGGCATGTCCATTAACATAATTCACTTTAACACTTTTCGCTTACGTCCTAAACTGTTAATCTCTTTTTATAAAGCAGGAGGACCCGACGGTGTCTGTTTTTTTAAATAACTGTTCTTGTGCGAATTTTTTCCTGGGAAATGGATTTTAAGCTACATTGCTGACAATCTCACAAGCAAACGTGGCGCCCTTCATTCTTTAAAATATTTTTTTTTGCTGGCAAACGTTTTTAAGGTCGCCAAAAGGCTTATAAAGTTTTTATGGTCAAAAAAGTCTTTCATTTTTTTAGTTAGGAAATTTTCATTTTCCTGGCAAAAATTCTTAGAAAGTATTCCTTGCCTGGAGAGTTCTTTCTTTTCTGGATTTCTCGCACGCTGGCAAACAGTTGTGACTTACAGCTGGCTGGGACGTAAGAACAGATATATTTCTCCCAGGAACCCGTCGGCTCCTCCTGATAAAGTAGTTTAATTAAACTATCGCGATCACTTTTCTCTGGGAAATGTAATTTATTCTATATGTCATATATATATAACCCTTCTAAACTTAAAAAAAAAACCTTAAAAACACCGAGTATAATTTTCTGAATATAGAAAATTGTCAATGAAAATATGCTCATTAAATGTGTGTGAATTTGTAAGAAAATTAAATGTTTTCTTGGAAAATAGGGCATTAAGTATAGGAAAGCAAAAAGAAATCAACGGAAGAACAAACAAAGCAACAAAAATAACAGCAAAGAACATACTTTTTTTTGAAAAAGGAAAATTAAATACAACACAACATAAAACGAAAAGAAAACGCTATTTTCAGTGTGATTGACTGTTTTGTTGTTCTTAGTATCCTGTCACATTTACGTAAAACTAAAATTAAAATAAATTGCCATTCTAAAACTTCAATTATGCAGGACTGTGCTGATTATATACCTTATTCGTACTAATTTTCGCGAGGCTTTAATTTCGCGATTTTCGCGATTTAAAAAAAAAGCGCGAAATTAGAACCTCGCGAAAAATAGGATCCGCGAAAATTATACACGCGAAATTTAATGCACTTCTATAATCATATCAATTTATATACAAATCTTCGATTATTGTTTAAGTAATCATTCAGCGAAAAAGGAATTTTAAGTCTCGCAGTCCGCCTGTTTTTCATTTTTCGCGAAGTTAATGCACTAAATTTATCCTTTTTTTTCAAAATCGTGAAAATTAATGCTCGCGAAATATTTGTGTTTAAAATTCGCGAAATTAAGTGCTCGCGAAAATTAGTACGAATAAGGTATATAAGAGCAACTGTGATCGAATATTTTGCGATGGAGTAGCATTCACGTCAAACGGCAAATTGCTTTTTAGGGGTTTACCGTTACAGTTTCAACCCGATAGCACGTTATTTTGGGGTTGCCATAATCGTGAAAAGTTGCTCTTTCAAATGACTACCAAAAGCACAAGGTCAGGCACGACATTCGTAGGTCAATGGTTCAGCTCTGCCGTTAGCCGTTTGACGTAAACGTGATGCTTAAACTCTATTGTCTACTGTTAACACATCAGGAGTTTCGGAGAATTATGCATCTGTCATCTTGAAAGGATCTTAAAGGTAGGAGTAGAATCACTAAATTATAAATGCATAGGACTTTATATAAGCTTAATGTAGCTTGCACACACAATTCACACATATTTCTATTGTGTCCATTGTCAACAAACTGATTTAATTGAGACGTTTTGAAGTGTATCAGGTGAAGATTTTCAAATTCAAAAGCAAGTTTAAACCAAATTTAAAACTGCTTGTGTTTCCTAAAGTAGTAGAATTGATATTTGAGCACCAAAAACCGGAATTAAAACGTTCTAAGCTAATGCCAAGTCAATATAATACGATATAACGATAGATTAGTTGACTTAGCAACTATAGATGAAAGTTTTCTAAGGCACAACATAGTAATTCGGGTCTCACTTTTCAAGATGGCGGACGCATTGTTCCCCGAAACTCCTGCATGATACGATAGATATAATACTGTGTCAATATGACGTTAATCAGCTATTGGCGAGACTTGAAACGTACTTTAAAAGGTTCGGGTAAGATTACACGGGAATTTGTAAGTGCACCATGCCTTGATGGTGGAGATCCGGGTACTTCAGGCTCAATTTTAAACTGATGCAGCAATCGAGCAATAACGATAAAAAGCTCTTGTTTAGCCAAAGCCTCACCAACACAAACACGACGACCTGCACCAAAGGGCAGGAAACTCTTCATGCCAGCTACTTGGATCAGCTTGCCTTCATCATCTAAGAACCTCTCAGGGTTAAAGGCATGGGGGTCTTCCCATTCCTTTTCATCTAGGTGTATGGCCCATGCATTGATAAAGACAGTGGTACCTAAATATTTAACAGAATAAGCATATAATTTTAGGTCTTATGTTTTAGTGCCCCCTTCCCCTTAAAAAAAAAGAACAACAACAAACAAACAAAAACAAAACGAAAATAAATTAATAAAAAAATAAATCAAAAATTCGCGAATGAACTCGTCGATACCTGTGTAATCCTTTATTAACTGAGCTGTGAAGCTATGTTGGCGAGCGGTACATTTCATTTGATGATAAAATCCGTACTCAATGAGTAATAATGAAATTTTGGCACAGACTGCGATGAATAAATGTATAAGTAAATTGTGATCGTCGTAGTGATTTAGAATAATCTAAGTGATTGTTAATAATACCATGATCACCTCGGATTCTTTTGTCCTCCGAGGGATGTTTGCAAGCGAACATCCCTCCCTCATGAATAGCATGAGGGACGATTACTATTAAATACTGTTGTTCTGCGAAAACCTTTTCAGTGATACAATAAAGTACTAATTTGATACTCTTAGAACAGTCCGTATCCATTCTTTTCATGTCACATTCACCTCATGCATGAATTATTTGTTGCAATGTATATATTACTTCTGATTGAAAACATTGGAGCATGAAAAAAAAACACAAGAATTCAACTTCGCCCAAGTTCAACTTCAATTTTTTCCTCGGAAATCATGGTATTACAAAGTAATAGCATGGCATCCTCGGAAGATTAGGGATTAAATGTCTCTCAGCCTCGGACAGATAAGTAAAAGTCGGGACTTCAACTTATCTACCCTCGGCTTCGGGGACATATAATCCTTTATCTCCCTCAGAACCATGTATTACTTATAAAAAATGGATCCCCCTAAAAAACATTTGCTTTCCGATATGATTTTTGCTCCCTGGTATCAAATTGGTCAAATAATGTGAGAAAACAAGCTCCAGTTGTAAAATTTACTGATCCAAATAGATTTAATGTTTACGTTTGTATTTTGAATTTTTTCATTATCGTCTTCGAAGAAATTAGAAAGAACAATCTTCCTCATGTTCACGGGCTTTAAATTTTGTTATTAACCTTGTACCTTTCAGCCCGTTCCGTTTTAAATAGACTACAATACCATGCCATACAATCATCATCATCATCATCACCATCATCATCATCATCGATTTAGTGGTACCTTTAGGGATATTATAGCCCTCTAAAGTCGAGTCTTGTAGAGCTTTGTGAGGAAATAGTACAGGACTAGCGTTAGAAGCACGAAGAGTCTCCTCCACCGTTGCCATTGTCATATGCAAAACTTTTCTGTCTTGCCAGCATGGTGATCTGTGCCTTCCAACAACATCATCTAACTCTGCTTGAATTTTTGCTTGAATTTCAGGATRTCGCGCCATGAACAAAACAAACCACAATAGMCGCGTYGATGTTGWTTCAGAACCAGCTAARATCACGTCTTGCARTGTCATGACTACGCGTTCTTCAGTAATGACGCCAAAACCTTTTTCATCTCYCTCATCTTCCTCTTSTAACGACTTGATCAAAGCATCAGTCARATCACGAATGATWCCTTYTTGATAGGATTTTAAGTGCTCGTGAAATTTCTTTCTAAGTAAAGGATGGWAGTYGTTTCGAATCCATTTGGCCTCTTTCGAATCTYSAATRGGAAAATGGATCAACATTGGRAATATGTTTAGAATATTTAATGTTCCTATCAATTTCAATAKTTTTTGATCTGCATCAACGATTAACTGAAATTCAGGATTGTCGATCTCRTAACGATCACCAAAGACCAYAGCACATATGACATTCATTATCATCAAAGACAATTCTGGATGAGGATTTACGGGYGTYTCTTGAAWCGAAACCAGTCTTTTGATTAGCTGATCAACTTCCAAGTTAAGTTTTTCTTCTAATTTGGGYTGATACAAACGGATGGCAGAATGAACAATTTTTCTCTGTTTAWTCCAAACAGGGCTGGGGTCTGCTRSCRCTATATTCTTCGMTCCAAGGGAAAGGTAGTGAAAAYTGAACAWGTACGGCCTTCCTGAAAAGGCATCTCGCTTGGTCATCAAGGCTTCGCGTGCAGTTGAAGCTGAATTAACAACTACGATATTCTGATCTGGAAGCTGAAGTGTGAAAAGCTTCCCATCATATACCTTGACAAGCTTTTGCATTTCTAGATGCATTTTCTTCTGCCACATCCACTTTAATACTAATAGCAGGTTTCCTATAACGGGCAATGGTGTTGGTCCTGGTGGCATTCCCTTTGGTTTGGTCACGTAGGACAAAAGCAAATAGATGAAAACCAAGAACAATAGCAGAAAAGCAACCTCTTGAAACATTTTTACTGGATCACTTGAAACTGCAAAATATTGAAAGAAAAGAACAAAAAATTATCCATGCATGCCGTTGCGACTATTTTGCCCCCGTTATGTACACTCAATTTGCAATGACCACAAATGGAGCAAACGTAAAACAAAACCACTAGTTAAAATCAAGACAAAAATAATAATAATATTATTAATAATAATATTCGTTTGATAGATTATGGTCTTGAAAGACTTAAATGCCATTTGTGCATGTAAACAAATCTTTGGAATCTAGATTCGGCTATAGGATTGATCGCTACAAGAAATATAAAGGACAAACACAAGAAAGGTTACATCGTGTATTACATAATAAACAGTTAAATTGTTGTTTTTTTTTGCGTTTCGATCGTCAGGAGAAGCTCCAGATGGTGGGTTTACTTTTTTAAAATTTCCATTTCAGTTTTAATTCAAATATTGCATCAAGTGCACAAGGGCTCCGCCATAGAGGCGGCAAATTGACATGATATAACCATTGCATTCCTTCTGGTGTTGTTAATTTTCTTGTTGTGTCATCAAATTTTTGATATCGTTAATTCTATAGATGCTACTGTCTGTACTATTTACAACTGTTTACAGCCGTTACAGATAACACGTAGGGAGTCGAACGAAAAATTCTACTGGATTCATGCATTTTACCGATGTCAATCATAAACATTTCTATGACTGCCATTGGATAGCTCCTCCCCCAACATGAATTGGTTTCCTCGAATATCGACAAAACTAGCCAAGAATGGTTAAAGCGCTTTCAAATTCCTTGCGTTGAAGAGTGATAATTCTTCAAACAAAGAGGACTAAGTATTTCAGAAATTGTGTAGTACTTTGTGTGTTATTTAAGCATTTGTTTCGGAAATACAGAGACTTAGACTCCACTATCTCCACAAAGCGATAGCTTTGTTATTCATGTATCAGCCAGAAGACGATTGGATGTTAGAGCAAGGCAGAGAAGCCATTTTGATCATGGCTGGCACAATCATTATCATGTTCAGCTATAAGCTGATCATTTCTCATTATGTTTGAATGGGTCAGCATTCTAAATATTATGCAATTCATCATGTGACGTCATGTGTAATGTACACAAAATGTATGCCAAAATATGGCTTGTAATAATTTCTCCTCCGTCTCAGTTTGTTCAAAACTCCTCCTTCAATACTCCTGAGCTAAGTGAATTATTTTTACGACTAATCGCAAACTTGTATTTCCATGGGTGAGAATAATATTTGCCAGAATGCATTAGATCACTGCAAGCCCGTATTTTACATGAAGACTAGACGCTCTTGGAGCGTGAAGTCGGACTAGTGTTTTTGAAACTATTTGAGAAAGACAGGATATTACATAAAAATATAAAAATTAGATTTATAAAACATATATTTCTTAATTTTTCTCTAAAATATAATAAGAGACGTCTAGCTCAAAATATCCAAACTCTCTTGAGACTTTAAATAAACTTGACCTAAAAAAGGTCATGTAATTAACACCGTCACCGATTTTAAAAGAGTCCTTGACTGATAAAATGAGAGGAGACAAAATGTCGCTAAGTGGTATCATGAAATCTAATACGTTGACCTCTCAGGCCAAGAAAATAATTACTTTACAAAGTAAATGATACCTATAAAATCATTAAAATCGCCTTTTTGTTATTGATAAACAAAGTATCTTCTTGTTCTAATTTAAAATCTTTGCCCACACAAGACTGCATAACGCTAGAAAGGTCATTGATTTAGTCTCGTAAACATACTACTCGAAGCACCATTCCACCTGCACATGCGCGTACTTATGATGCCTGTACTGATGCATTCTGATGAGATCACAGATACAACATTTGTAAACGAATAGTTTTTTTTGTCATTTAAAAAACTCATACATAATTAATGAGCTACTAGGCCAATAGAATGAGCCTATTTGGTCACATGCATGGACCTTTATATCTGATAAAACACTCCTTATTAGTATTCTTTATATAAAGAATACTAATAAGGTTGACCTTTATCAGATATAAAGGTCCATGACCCTAGCAAAGGTCTCAGGTTTGAAACCTGATCATTGACCAATGCAGGACGTCAACCGATTTCAGTGAACAGCCAATAGCGGTTCTATTTTACTTTATGCGTATTCAATGTGGGATGACAAGAGTGCTTTGTAAAGTGATTCGCGCATGATCAGTTTGCCCCATTTATCTCTGAACATATTTGTACGTCAATTTCTCCAAGAATTTTTACGGATTTGAGTTTCAAATTAGTGTTGGAGTTTTTTAAGCCGTTTAAAACACTCGAGATCGTGTTTTATCAGGTATAAAGATTCCTTCGGCTCGAATCTTTATACCTGATAAAAAACTCTCTCTCGTGTTTTAAACTATACATAAAAGCGCAAGTAGCATATAACATTTACTAACGATATTCGTACATCTATACGATTGAGCTTCCGGTCACGTAATAACACAGCCAACCCAATAGTGAATTATTAAATTCTTAACTTCCGGTGGTCCAAACGCGACATGACACATAGATAGATAGATTGGATAAAAGGTAAATTTAAAGTCGGACCGCCTTCGGCTAGTCCGACTAAAAAGTAATAAATCGATTCACTGTTGACATTGTCTGGGAGACGAAAAGTTGTTATGACCATAATTAATAACATCCTTTCGGTCTTAGCTTTGCATATGTAACCTTCTTGAGTCTGACTACGAGTTTTTTATTTAGTTGTATATACATTCCCACACGATTATCAGTGATTGAGGGGAAAAGGGTTGCAAATGAGCCAAACTGTGAATAAAATTGCCGTCGCCAGAAATGAAATACTCTGAGCCAGGCTTGAATAGTCTATATCAATATTTGCTCAGACGTTTGCGGGATCTTATAGCGTACACCTCGTTTGCCCAGTGCTTTACCGTTGATAAAACTATCTCTTGGTTAAAAAGAAAATAATATTATAATATTTGCAAATGATAAAATTACTAAAGCCAGATAACAAAAATGGTGTTACAACATGGTTATCTGTAACTTCAGACAAAAAAATCAAAACAGATAAGTTTGGCTTGATTTTATTAGCACTGAGAAGCGTTCGCCAGCATAGACTACGATGATGTATCTGACTCTGCAATGACTATAAATCTATCGCTAGAAAAATATATTTTGATCGTAGAATGTGTCTACAATGTCCACTAACGGAAACTTCCTCTCAAATGTGCAACAAGAAAAGCCTAAATATATCTTACAAAGAAAGCTAATAGAGCTACTCAGACATGAGTTATATAACCATACTTTGCAGATCTGGCCTCGATGATTAAAAACAGCTACTTACCATATAGCAACAGCAATGTAGTTATAAGCTTCGTGCATAAATGTGTTATTCTGATCAGCCTATTGTACTAGCAACGATGAAAGTAGCCAGGAATGGCAGATGAATGATATAATATATGCAATGGATATGTCTAAAGCGTTCAATGATTAGTTAAGATAGCCTTGTGACCTTGTCATTCTCGGAGGATTCGGCGTCCTGACAATGTGGAGGAATTTGTTCTTTCTTGTTGTATGTAACATTTTTTGGGGGCTTAGGGTTGTGCACGATTTTTATTTTTGGTGAAAATGGCTTGAGGATTTATTTTTTCAAAATCATCCCCCTGCCGCCCCCTCAAAACTTAAATAGACCGTCCCTAAGAGTTGAGAATGATCGTCTAAATCAGCAGTAATTTAGAATGCTATATTTCTCATTGCCTCTACACTCTCTTGCTCGAACATCGTCAAAAGCACGATTTTATTTTTATGAATATGTTCTTTTGAGCATACAGTTTGAATAGAAAAGCAATACGAGAATATTTATCATTTTTCTACTAATGGATAATTTGGCCTTTGTCTAAAGGCCATCGACGGCATATTTTTTTACGATTTAATTTCCAATAAATTAGCAACTGTTGACCTAATACCGCAGGGACGGATCTAGCATTTTTACAGACTAGTTTCCAACTAAAAAAATGTTGTATTGACATATGCTAATTAATTAAAACATGAATATTTATAACATCGGCCTGAAAAAAACCAAATGTTTAAATAAATGTGAAATGTTGTTTTTTTTTCTGTCGGCAAAATGATTCTAATAAACTAATGAACTAGTTAAGCCGATTCAGCCAACTTGTTAACATACACAAGGGACGGCAATGCGCCGCGGTAGATGACGCTAGCAACCGAATTCCAGAAAATTGTATTTCGAATTTAAATTATCAATTCTTAACTGTGTTTAATATGAACTTATTCGGTTCAAGCGTTTTCATTCTTTTTAAATCAAAAGAAATTATTTTCAATACATACCAAGCACGAAGAATGTTCACATGCATGAATCCGAATCTGTTTGGCGAATTCAATGTATACTACAGGAATTTCCTTTGAACAGTTTCACGAGAGGTTTATCCACATTCCGACACAAGAGCAACAGATCTAAACAGTGCTGGTAGTATTTCTGGCCTCGATCTTTTTTCCATTTGCTCAGTTAGTGTTGTTTTAGGGGCCAATTATTTCAAAATCTTTGCTAAACTGAATGGCACGAGGCCTTTGCTATGAAGACAGCATAGCCTTACTAGGGTAGGGTAATCACTGGTTTCTACTGGTTTCCGACTAGTTTCTGGTTAGGTCCTACCCCTCCCTCGTACAAACCAAAGCTCGATTCTGATTGGCTGAAAATAGATTTCGGGTTTCCTGTGTGAACAAGAATTTATCTGGAAACCAGTCGGGATTCCTATGTGAATCAGTGCTACGTCATTTTGCACTAGTGCACTCTCAAGCGATAGTCCGCTGTCTAAGAGCCATTGGGGGACTCTGGGCTCGTGATCGACAGTCTTGTGTCAAACATTTCGATGGGTCCCCTCCCACAAGAATAAAGAAGTTTATATTCCAAGTAGTAAATGTGGGTTTCCTGTGGTACAACTTTCAAAATGGCGGCCAAAGCGATCGTATTGCCATCTACCGGTAAAATACTCCAGTGAATACTCCATATTCTTTTCGTTTATATGATTTTATTTGAAGTATCGCTTTCAACTACATCTATTTTTTGAAAAATCTCACTAGTTTCCGGAAACTAGTTGAACTAGTCTAAATCCGCCCCTG